TATAAAATAGATTATTTCCTTATTTTATAAACAGTGTAAACAATAATTTTTCAATGTGTAATATGAGTTTACTACATGTGCTATTATATTTGAGCTTATTCAAAATGAATATTTGTCTGTGGATGTGAATTGTTATGTGAACTGTTGTATTTTATTTCAGAATCTTGCTCCAGATGCAGTAAAAGATCTGGAGAGCCTTTATTGTCAGGTAATATGGTGTACTATTTGTTATCCAAGCTCAGCAATAATATAATCAAGTATGCACAGAATGCTTAGATATTACTTATATATAATTATTATATATATATAATTATATAGATAATACCCTTATCTGACAAGTGTGCTCTCCTCCAGCACTGACTGATCTGCTCTGTCAATGCCACCCTGTCCTCCACCACTGTCATATCTTTCACTGCTTTTTCTGGGTCCCCTGTCGCTATGTCCAACCATTGGATTGCCTGTGATGATGTAACTCCTGCACATGTGCACAGCACTTGCATTGTCTTAGGCACCCGGCTCGATTCCTGGAAACACTGCAGATGCTGGGAAGGACTCTGTCTACTATATTGTACGGCTCAGGCACCATACAGTGTACACAAGAGACAAAAACTGCTAGAAGTTAGAAGCAGTTGTTTTTTGGCATAAGAGACCTGGAGGTTTATTCACAAAGCTGCTGAAGGCAGCCGAGTGAATAACCCAGCCGAAGTGAAGTGACCCGAACACTGTTCTGCTATTCACTTCTGGCTTGTACGGCTGATTTTAGCCGTATATCGGCTAATGTCAGCCGTACTTCGGCTGCCTAAGTGCAGAAGGAGTCCAACATCTGGATTGGCTGCACCAAAGCTCCATCAGCTCAATCGCTGCCATACGCTCCTATTCTCATAGGGGCTGAACGACAGTAAGTGAATAGCTGAATGCTGTCAAACGGCATTCTCCTCGCTACCTCAGAGGTACCGAACAAAATAGAAAAAAAAGAAAGGAAAAAAAAATGTTGAAAAATATGTATTTTAAAAAAAATAAAATAGGAAACATTTTTAAAAATAAAGAAAATAATACAAATATTGTAAAGAAAAGTAAATAAATAAAATAAAAAAACGATTAAAAAAAAGCAACGCGACAAACTCCTGTCGCATAATGTCAAATCCGACAGATGCCGGCAAAATATAAACAATTATATTGACATCACTGCTAGCTCCTCCCAACTGTTTCCTATTGGCAGGCACCTGCCAGAGTTTTCTAGCAGGTCCCGGGCAATAAATAACAACTGGGCGGAGCCGGCCTTGATGTCACAGCCAGCTCCGCCCAGTGGTTAATGTTTAATGACAGATTAGTGTCCCCAGGTCATTTGGGGACGCTGATCTGTCATTACAACTGAGATCACAGCTGGCTTCGCCCTGCTGTCATTTGATGGCCTTTCTCTACGCTTCGCCTGTCACTATGGCTCAGCCGAGCCAAAGTAGATGGGTTTGGCTTGGCTGAGCCGCTTGGCTGCCTTCGGCTGCTGTAGGGGCTATAGTGAATAGCCTGTACAGCAGCCCTTCGGTTCGACTGAACTGAAGGGCTCCGGCGGCCGAAGTGAGTCGAAGGATCAGCTGAAACTACAGCTGGATACTTCGGCTCATTAGTGAATACTCTTGGTGTGTCTATTCTGAAAAAAATTTTTGGGGGGGTTTCACCTCTGCCCAAGCTGAGATTAGGCCCCTCCCTTCTTCTGATGTTAAAATGTGACTAAATTCAAGAATAAAAATGTAATAAATTGGAGCTTAGCAGTCCTTAGATGCACTTCTGAAACAAGGTGAAAACAAGGGATGCACTTCTGAAACATTAGAATGAGATCCTAATAGGTTGGACTTGATGGACTAATGTCTTTATTCAACCTCAAATACTATGTAACTATGTAACTAGGTGCTTTGGCGGTCTTGCCCTTTTTGTGCCTCACTCCAGCTGAAGCATCACAGGCGGCCACCTCTTCAGCCTACCTATCATCCTGCCTTGCTTAGATGTGATGACTGCATTAGTTTTCATTTCCCAGGCTTAGGTCTTACAATTTTACTTGGTGCTCCTTCCAGTAGTATACTTTCTGTCCTAGCATGACAATTTATACTCTCTATACTGTATCTATATGAGCAGTAGTATCACCATAGGCAGCTTGCTGCTGACTTTGACTACAGAACACCTATGTTTCCTTCACCTCCATCTGGACTATATAATGGGAGGAGAAGGCTATATTCTCAATTAAGGCTGATGTCAGGGCCTCTTGTACAGCTTGGGGTCAGGATCCAAAGGTTTTCCACTGAGACAAAAGAATAAATTTAAAAACTAAAACAAGTGCTTAAAGACATGTGTTGATTACTGGACTTTAACAGAAACTTACTGTATAAATGCACCAAACAAAAGAAATAAGAATATTATCAGTATCTTAAATGCCAGCAACACTGTAGTAGATAAAATATTAATTTAAGTAGTCCTAAAATTGCAAAATATTGTTTTATAGGCAAAGCAAGGAAAAGCAGATGAAGTTGCTAAAAAACTTGCAGCTATCCTGGTAAGAAAATTTACAATGCAAAGTTCTATATAAGAATATTTTCTGGGACTGTTACAGAAAAATAGGCATGTGTGGAATGTCATGCAATGATATACTGTATATAAAGTGTTATAAAGTATGGCAACCAATCTAAAAAAATCTCCTAATTGACTGTAGTAAGTAGAAATCTGATTGGTTGGTAGGGTTTATAGCACTTTCTACATCCTGTTTGCCCTACGTGAAACCTCTTGTTAAATAAGCCCAGAGATGCTGAAAATAAAATGTAACTACACAATGTGCAAATTCAATCCATTCCGCACCTGAAATATTATTATAACTGGAGAATACTGGGGATTTCTGATCATTTACTACAAAGTATTCCAAAAATGTTTTGATATAATATGGCAACCAATCAGGAGGAAGCATCCCATTACTTCTGAAGCGGGAAGGATCACTGTTCAGAAAAAGCCCCTAACTTAGTGTCTATATTTCTGTGTTTGTGTTGTTTCATTGATTAGTAAACACAAAATATAAGTAAACACAAAATATTACCCCGATTTGTGCATTCTCAGAAAGCACCTCTCCCCCTATTTAACAAATCCTTAATACACCAGAACAGAACTTGGTTTTATTGATGTGCATCACCATTGCATAAGTTAATAAAAAACGTATTTATTGATACACACGAGTCCACACCTCATTGAACCTTGTTTGGCAGCCATAGTACATACATGTACTAATTGAAACACTGTATGAATTATCCATGATTCATCTTCATTTGTATTTAATCAATATGGTAATTTCCATTGGCTTGCATGTCAAGGTCTTTATGACCCGATGCGTTTCGCTTATGCGCTTCTTCTGGGAACCTTCAGCGGCTAGTCTAACATACATAAATAATTATTCAAAAGCAATAATTATTTTTTGCATAATCATATAGTTGAACATTGAACATGAGGTACTGGCAGACAGCCATGTGCCGCTACTCACCTAACACTAGCAGGGGTATTCACAAAAGGGTGAAGAGTTTGGAGAAGGCAGGAGAAGTGAACAATCTAGGAAAACATAACTGAACTGGAAAGTGAGCTGAATTGGAGAATTTTTCCAAATCAGCTATTTCGGCCTAGATTGTTCACTCCTCCTGCCTTCTCCACACTCGTCACCCTTTTGTGAATAACTCTGTAGATTTCAAGGGCAAATATGAATCCTATTTTCAAGGGAAGGGCATAAAACCACACGCCCCACCCCCTATCAGATCATGGTGGGAACACTGGGATAGAGCGGGAAGGGAGACCCAATTAACTGCACCAGTATTTTGTTTGCAGAGTGCTAATCTCTCCACTCCTTTCTGTTACCAAATAGAGAGGCATATAGATGTGGTCCATTAGGATACCTGATGAATCATATAGAATACCATTGTGTAATTAGAGATAAACATCGTATATCAATCGATTTTGCACAAAATAGGGTTGGGAATAGTACCTTCCCCCCATCACATAAGTGACCCTTGAAAACTACCCTTACTGTATGTTTATAGCCCATAGAGGTAACCAAAATGAGAAAAAAATCAAATGATCAAATGATCAAATCCCTCAAAAAACTCAGGACCTCGTTTAGTCCTGAATTGGCTATTTCTTAGTTCCCTATGTGATAGCAATAAAGTTTTACGTGTTAAAAAAAAAAACGTTTTTAAAAAAATTAAAGAAGCTAAAAAAAAAAAGTAAAATAACACAAAAATGTTTTTCAAGTCCCCGACCCCCCACATACACATTCAAACATGCGTCGGGTGCGCCAGAGTGCGAAAACGACGATTCCGCCCATTACGCTGCACATGTTACATATCGCCGCAAATGTTGGAATGAGAGCAATAATTCTAGGGCCATTAACTACTGATAACACTAAACTGATGAGCGGTAAAAGTTTTTAAAGTGTCGCCTATGGCCAATTTTTGGGTGTGGCCGTTTTTTGCGATTTTGCAGCCGCGCGCAATTTTAAAGCTTGACATCTTTGGTGTTAAAAGTTGGGGTGATAATAAATGTTTCATAACATTTCATAGGGAAACAGATTTTTTTCCTCAAAATTAAGGGTACTTTTTTGTTATATAGTAAAAAATTTAAAAAAACGTAGTGGTGAATAAACACCACCAAAAGAAAGCTCTATCTGTCCCCAAAAAATGGTATAAATGTCATTTCAGTACAGCATTGCATGACGGAATAAACGTCAGTCAAAGTACCGCAGCGCTGAATACTGAAAAATGGCCTGGCCAGGAAGGGGGTGAAACACCGCGGACTTTAAGTGGTTAAACCCCAGTTCTGTTCTGGTGTATTAATGATTTGTTTCATTGATAGGAAATTTGAAAATAATTCTTGCAATATATTTTAATATAAAACAATGAAAATGTATATATGTATGTATTCAAAAAGCCAATTTTTACCTATTTTAAATTAGGGAAAGCTTGGATGTGGCGCTGATGCTCAGCTTGAAACTGGACAGACACTGGTAAGGACTTTCTCCAAAATGTATGTTCATCATTGAAATTAGTTCTTGAAACGTCTCCAGCATGTTCCATTGTAATTAAACTATTAAATAGTATTATTAAAGTATACAAGGAATGATTGTTTCCTCATGTTAAAGTGACTCTTGAAGAAAGTGAATAAACCCTTTTATTGCAATGGATGTACGTAAGTACTGAGTCTGTG